TTTACTTAGATAGTTACTGTCGGTTATAATTTGTGCATTCTGATTGGTAATGTGAATCTTAATCAATAGTTACCCAAAACTGGTCAAGTGAGACTTTCGTCACCTATACTTTTGTCGTTGGCCAAAGTTTTGTCTGACTCTCGCCAATAACCAAAGTTTAGTTTGACTTTCGGCAATTGACCAAAGTTTTGTGTAAGTGTCGTCAACTGACCAAATGCCGCCTTGCTTCGATCACCGATGAGGCTGTAGCTGTACTTTTGTCGTGACGTACAGATCTTCAACAAAGTCGAAAACGGTACTTTTTTTGTGATAAATTTTAGTCAATTCTCGAAGGTACAACCGCAGTCTCATCAGTGATCAAAGTAAGGTAACTTTTGGTCAGTTGACAAAAGTCAGACAAAACTTTGGTCAATTGACAAAAGTCACGTGAAAGTTTGGTCAATTGATGTGAGTCAGGCAAAACTTTGGTCAATGACGAAGGTATAGGTGACGAAAGTCTCGGTTGACCAGTTTCCAATTCCCTTTAATCAACTGTATTGCTAATTTACATATGTAACGGCTGGCGCTACGTTCACAAAAATGGACAAGAATTTAAAAGATAACGGTGATTAGCCCGAAAAGATCACGGTTCTTGAATAATTCAATTTTTTGGACTGAAAAGTTAACGGAAAATGAATTATTTAGGAAAATACTGAAAAGATAACGGAAAATGCATTATTTAAAAAAAAGACTGGAGACGATTATGTATTCAATGTAGCAGCAACATTATTATTACAAAAATGGAATAATGATACTGATCTTCATCGATTTGCTGCCTATTTCAAAACCGAATGGATTGATTCACTTGTTTTTGGTACAAGGGTGCTGTTTTAAATAATACTTCAACGAACAACGGTTTGGAGTCGTTGAATGGTGAGTTGCGTTACTTTTTTTTAAAATAAACGTTTAAAGTTTACGTTTCAGGCAAAATTAAACAACATGACACATTGAGAAAAAAATTGCCACTAAGTGGATTTTTAACGATGGTTCAAACCATGCTTTCGGACTGGGCACTCAAACTGAAGGAAGGTGGTTCCGTCACCGAGCCACTTGTCAAATTAGAAATTCAATTACTGGCATTCAAATGGTCGCAACATGTGAAAGAGGCAATGGTACCGTTGCCATGGGATATATATCAGTTTGCTGTACCACCAACGTATCCAAAAATGTCTCCATCTCAATGGATACAGCGTTTATCAAATAATGATCACCAAACATTTGACAATTTTAAAATGTGGTACGAATCGGCACATGTAGTTTCAATTCAATATCAACGTTGTTCATGCAGAACTTTTTGCAAGC